CGAGTTGATGGTGTCCTGCTGCTGATATCGGCGATGGTGTCCCGCCGTGTACCTCCCTCCCCCCTTCATCTGTCTCCCGCCCCCGTGCTGCTTCTCGCCTTCGCAACCCTTCCCCGCGCTGCCTCCCGCCTTCGGTGCCCGCTCCAAGATCGGAATGCTGTCCCCCTTGCCGGGAATTTTTTTTGGGGAAAGGGTCTGCCAATTTCGAAATTCGAAATCGGCAGGCCCTTCCCCCAAAATTTTTTTTGGAGGCGGGGTGCGATCGGTTTCTGGACTCGCACGGCCCGGCCGTCATTTTTGCCGGGGTGGGGGCCCGCCTTGGTAACGAAAACCGAATTTTTTTTTTTTTTGGGAGACCCCTATTTTTCACGGTTCGGGGCGTCGCGGTGCGCCGTGCGGTGCGCGGCGCTACGTGCGCTGCTCGTGCGCAAACCGGCGCACCGTCGTGCGCCGCAACTATGGTTTTTTGTGATGAAGAGAAATTGGCAGAGCTCGTTTTCTGTCATTGGAGTGGGAAAGATTAATGCGATCATGGCAAGAACCATGTTTCGTTAGTGATTGATGATTGGGGTACATTTGTCATGTGTCGTTAATCCAATGGCCGCAGATTTTCAATGTATGCTTACATGTGGCTTGCCACCACTTTGCTGACAATTGCAGATGGGAGCCTCTACCTCGCAACGCCCGTGGACGTGATTTTTATTGCTTTGCCAATCCTCGAGGTGGCGCGGATGAAGGTGTGTTCATTCATCGTCAATATACCTGATCGCTTATGGCATTAAACATTCAGACTGCTTCAGGGTCCAGAGTGCAGGGTTTAGGCCCGTCAGGGTATAACAAGTGAACCCGCTGCGGCGAAGCCGCGGTTTGAACGCCAATCTCACCCCAGGCACAAAAAGGGAAAAAGTTCAATCTTCAATGGTCAATCCGACCTCAATGGATCTGACCGCAGCTCCATCCAGAAGAAAGTGAGAAAGCGGATATGCCATAAGAGAACAGCATTGCTTTGTACGGGAAGAAGTGAAAAAGCTTCAAAAGAAAAGAAAAAAAAGTGAAAAAGGCTCAAAAAGCCCTAGTGCGCGTATGCCTAAGAATAGGCACCGGGCTTTGAAGGGGCGCACTATGAACTTGTACCCAAACATTCCAGGTTCGAGCTAAGAGACAATTCTCAACGGGCAACCCGACTTTGATGTATCTGACCGCAATTCCATCCAGTAAAAAAGCGAAAAAGTGAATATGCCCCAAGAGAACAGCGCTGCTCTGCATTGGGAGAAGTGAAAAAGCCTAAAAAGGAAAGGGGAAAAAAAAGTGAAAAAGGTCAAAAAGCCCTAATGTGATAATTTCCGAAATGCATCTGCCAGCAATTAGGGCCNGGAAAGGGGAAAAAAAAGTGAAAAAGGTCAAAAAGCCCTAATGTGATAATTTCCGAAATGCATCTGCCAGCAATTAGGGCCAGAGGCGGATGAATCCGACTGCAATCACATCCAAACGTTTCCCAAGAAAGTCCTTGTTGGAACGCCAAGTGGTGCAAGGAGGAAAGAGCGCTTGTAGCATGCTGAGGCCTGTACACGGGCCCTTTTTCTTAGGGCCTGACAGTTGTTAGGGCCCCCCAGGCCCAACACCATTTTTTGGCTGTGCAACCTGTGGGAGGCTACGCCCGCTTAGCCCCTACGGGCCCTTATTTGCAGCAAGGTTGGCCGCCCTAAGTGAAGGCAGGCACGACAGGCCCTCAGGGCCTCGTTTTTCAGGGTACCCCGCAACTTGGGAAATTCAGGCAGTTGCGCAGCGCCAGTTGGTTGAATGAACTCAGGCCCTGGGCCGCCTGTGTGAATGAATGTAAAGCAGGCCCTGGGCTGGATACGGGTACTGGGCCAAGCACAGGCCGAAAGCAGTTGGGCACATGCAACCACTTCRGGCCCAAGTCCTGCGTTCTTTGTGACTGGGCCTCAGGCTACCGGGGCCTACTGGAAGCTTCCTGGACTGGACGCAGGCAGGCCACTTCGATATAGGGAAGGGCCTGCCTCCTCATTCGGCATTCGGGTGCTGGCTGCATGCTGCGCGAGCGCTGGTGCGCTATCTGCTGGCTGGCTGGCACTCACGCTCTCACGGGCGAGTAGGGAGAGAGCATGCAGCCATAGCGAAGCTGCGCTGCTGTATGCTGGGTGAAGCGCAGGGTGGTCCTTGGGTGCTAGTGGCATCTGTGCGGCGTGGATCGGCCTGTTTAGCCACATAATGCGGCTGGGATTGCCTCTCGTTAGCGGCCTTGTCGTCCGTTTGGATGACCAAGTTTGTTCTATCCCGAATGGCCTGCAACGTAGTATAGTCGTACTCGTTGCCGAGTGTCGACCGCAATCCAGCGCACGATCTCGAGAAGAACTCGGATCGTTGATTAGGGAACGTCAAGTCGAAGCCTGGCGTGGTCACTATCTTCTGCCATTTTGATGCCCAGTCTCG